CCATATGTAAGATTCCCTTGAGCATTTCTTACGTAGCCAGTCTAGTGATGATGAATTCCCTTGCTTTTTGCTTGGCCAAAAGCAAGGATTTTATTTCTCCTTTATTTCTGAAGGATATCATTGCTGGGTATAATACTCTTTGCTGACTTTTTTTTTTCATTACTTTGATTATATCCTATTTTATCCTGGCCTGTAAGGTTTCTGCTGAGAAATCCACTCAAACTAATAGGAATTCCCTTATATGTAACTTAGTTCTTTTCTCTTGCAGTTTTAGAATTCTTTCTTGTCTTTGACTTTTGATAATTTGACTATAATGTGCATTGAAGAAGACTTATTTAGGTTGAATCTATGTGGGATTATTTGAACATTCTGGATTTGGATATCTGACTCTCCCAAGACTTGTGAAGTCTTCAGCTATTATTTTTTTAAATATGTTTTCTGCATATTTAATGAAATACTAGCTTTTTTTACCCTTCTTTTCTTCTTCTGGAATACCCATAATGCAAATATTTGTTCACTTAAAGATGCCCCATACATCTTGGAGACCTCTTTTTGTGTGTGTGGGTCGGGGGGGGTCTTGCCTGTGTTACTTCAAAAGACTTGTCTTCTCATTCAGAAATTCTTCTGGCTGGTCTATTGTGTTTACTGATGCTCTCAATTGTATTTTTTTTTTTTTTAATTTTTGAGACAGTCTTACTCTGTCACCCAGGCTGGAGTGCAGTGGTATGATCTCAGCTTACCGGAACCACTACCTCCCAGATTCAGGCAATTTTCCTGCCTCCGCCTCCCAAGTAGCTGGGATTACAGACACCCACCACCATGCCCAGCTAATTTTTATATTTTTTAATTCAGACAGAGTTTCACCACTTTGGTCAGGCTGGTCTTGAACTTTTGACCTCAAGTGATCTACTCACCTCAGCCTCCTAAAAGTGTTGGAATTACAGGAGTGAGCCATTGTGCCTAGCCTCAATTGTATTTTTTATTTCATAATTGAATTCTTCAGCTTTAGGATTTCTCTTTGGTTCTTTTTCATAATATGTATTTCTTTATTGAATTTCTCATCTAAATAGTGAATTTTTAAAATTTCATTGTGTTGTCTGTCCATATTCTCTTATATCTCAATGAGTTTCCTTAAAATTTCTATTTTGAATTCTTTTTCTGGTATTTTATACATTTCCTTATGATTGGAATCTTACTGGAGAACTATTGTGTTCTTCTGAAGGTGTCATGTTTGCTTGCTTTTTCATGTTTGTGTCCCTATGTTAATTTCTATGCATTTGGTGGAGCAATTGCCCCCTAATCTTCTGAAGTAGGCTTCAATACAGATGGGTCTTGGGGTGTCAGTTTGGTAGGGTGCATTGGTTTTGGGTCTAGATGAACATGGAGTATATAGTCTCTATGTAGTTTTTCAGCTATAATCTGTACTAGTAACATTTATGACTATCTCAGGAATCTAAGATGAGAGAGTTTGGCAGTGGCTTTGCTGGGAGTGAAGCTTTTTCTCATGTCAAGGGTACAGGTGTGACACAGTGAGTCAGCCAAATTGAAATCTTGCTGTGGTTGGGGCCTTGGTGTTGTTACCCTGGCTGGCGGTACAGGCATCTGGTTACTCAGCCAGTCTGGGGTTATACCTGCCAGGGATGGCTCACAAGGCTATTTCTTAGACCTGAGACATAGGTGCACAGCTGCTCAGCTGGCCTGAGGGCATGTCTGTCAGGGGTATCTGCCAGGCTGTTTCTTCCGGCTGGGATGCAGATGCACGGCTTCTAAGCTGTCCTGGGTGTGTGTCTGTTCAAGTTTGCCCCTGGGGTTGTTTCTCTATTCTAGGACATGGCTACATGGCTTCTTGGCTGGCCTGGGTGCATGTCTGGTAGAGGTGGCCAGGACTTGGGGACATAGCCGCTCAGTCTGGGAGTGTGTCTGCCAGGGGCAGCCCCCAGGTCTGTTTCTCAGGCCTAGGATGTAGACATACAGCTACATAGTGAGCCTGGGGTCATGCTAGCCAGGGGAAGCCTGCAGGGCCATTTCTTAGGTCCAAGATTTACATATTGGCAGCTTGGAAGCCTAGGGGCATGTGTGTGAGGAGTAGCCCATGAGGCTGTTTCTCAGGCTTCAATTGCAGGCATGGGGCCTTTGGGCAGGCAGAGGTGTCTCAGCAGAAGGGGTGGGTGCTACAGGGCTGTTCCTCAGGTCCTAGGTTTGTAGCTGCTCTACGTGTTTGGGGAACAGCCCAAGGGGTTGCTTGTCAGCTGCTTAGTAGACCAGGGTCCTTTCTTGCTTAGCTTAGGGGAGGGTGTGCAGCAGTTTAGCTGGCTCAGCAGTAGGTTTACCCTGGGCAGGACTATTCCTCCAGCTGGAAGTGCAGGCAGTGACAATTGGTGTCCCTGCTGTGTAGGACCAGATTTGCAACTCATCCTGGACCCAGGCTTGGCACAGCTGGGGTTATAGCATCAGCCATCCGTGTGGGCTGGGTGGAATGAAGATGAAACCCCAGTCTTGGAGAGGTATAATGGCTACTGGTCCCACAGAAGGGCACATTCCAAAGGTGGCTCTAATTTTAAGATGGCACTGTGCTGCAGCAGCATGGCTCACAGGATAGGTGGGGGTTAGGGTGTGCACACCTGTGCTCCTGTTCTGGAGCAGTGTAGTTGCGTAAATTCCCAGCAGCTCTCCAAACTGGACTCAGGGCTTGGGAGGACTATGGGATTCACCATAGCAAGGACTCTGGGCATTTGCAGGGGCAGTAGGAGCTGATGAGATTCTTCTGCTTACCATTTCCCTGAAAGGGAAAGTCTCTCAGTCTCCAAACCAATCTGATCCAGGCATGGTAGACAGTGCCACAGAGGCTAAGTGTCTCTCCATTGCTTCCAGTCACTATAGGTACCTCCCCACTCCCGTACTGCACTCCAGCACTCTCTGATCAACACTCCGGTAAAAATCTTAGCTCTTTATTCATTATATTGGTCCTTTCTTGTGTGTGTGGTCGGGGGGTAGTATGTGTGCCAGGTATCTCTAGTGAGCACCTTGATGACATCACCTCATTGTGGTTTTAATATGAATTTCTCTAATAGCTATTCCTTTACTTGTTTAATTTCAGCAACATTTGAAAGTTGTCCTTGATTTTTCTCATCCTGCTCAGTTATACTGTGGGTGTGCCTCCTAAGTATGTCTTTAATTATCTCTCTCTTTGTCCTAATTCCTGTGCTTTATTTCTTCACTATTATTAAAATAGCCTCCAAACTGCTTTCTCTGATACCTAATTCCTGTGCTTTATTTCTTCATTATTAAAATAGCCTCCAAACTGCTTTCTCTGATACCATTTCCTCAGCAGATTCCAGTTTGTTTTCCACACTGCCGTCAGAACGAATTTTCTAAAATGTTGATGTAATCATGTCACTCCTTTGCTTAAAGGTCTTCAAAGCTTCCCATTGCCTTTAAGATGAAGTCTACAATCTGGATCCAGCATGTTTTATACTATCTATCTATTCTTGCTATTCATTTCCCCACCATCCCACCCTCATACAAACATACACACTACACACACCCACACACACAGACACACACTCTGCACATTTCCTGGCTTGTGATCTACCTGCAGTTATTCGAATACATTAGATCTTATTTTATGCCTTTGGACATGCTGTTACCTCTGTCTGAAATGTTCATTCATCTCCCTTTACAAACTTATTCATGCCACCTCTTGGAATCTTTTTCTGAGTCTCCATAACAGTTAAACGTTGTGTGTGTGTGTGTGTGTGTGTGTGTGTGTGTAAATATAGTGACATACATATGTGTCTGTGACGATATTGGGTTTAATCATGTGAAACTGTCATTTTTATACATCAAAATATGCTTTATATTAATTAGCCTAAAACATTTTTGTAGTTGTTTGTGTGTCTGGCATTCCTAATCCAGCAAAAGACTTATTTTTTTTTCAAAGGATAGTAGGCCACTTAGTATACATTTATTGATAGGTGGATGAAAAGATCAATTTTAAAGATCAAGGCTGTCATTTAGGGCAGGGGTCCCCAACACAGGCCGCAGACCAGTACCAGACCATGGCCTGTTAGGAACCAGGCCACACAGCAGGAGGCAAGCACCGGGCAAGCGAGCATTACGGCCTGTGTTCCACCTCCTGTCAGATCAGGGGTGGTGTTAGATTCTCATAAAGCATGGACCCTATTAAGAACTGCACATGTGAGGAATCTAGATCGTGTGCTCTTTATAGGCATCTAATACCTGATGACCTAAGGTTGCGCAAAAGTGCTGGTCCCTGGTGCCAAAAAGGTTGGGACCACTGATTTAGAGTGAAAAGTTAGCTTGAAAATCTATAGATTTTCTACCTTAGAATCATATGGCCCTAAAGGTTGCTTATTTGCATGGTGCAAAATATAATACAAAATCATCACAATATGTCTCTCTTTTCTTTTCTTTTTTTTTTTTTTTTGAGACAGGGTCTCGCTTTGTCGCCCAGGCTGTAGTGCAGTGGCATGATCTTGGCTCACTACAACCTCTGCTTCCGGGTCAAGTGATTCTCCTGCCTCAGCATCCCAAGTAACTGGGACTACAGGCGTGCGCCACCACGCCCAGCTAATTTTTGTGTTTTTAGTGGAGATGGGGTTTCACCATATTGGCCAGGCTGGTCTCGAACTCCTGACTTCATGATCTGCCCACCTCGGCCCCCCAAAGTGCTGGGATTACAGGCATGAGCCACTGCCCCTGGCCCATAATACGTCTCTTAATAAATACATCTCGAATATCATGGATGAAGTCACAGATTATCTCCCACATACAATTCAGTAGTCATTTTCATATTAGTAGATAGCATCATAGCTTCAAGGTTCAAATAAAATCATAAAAGATACTGATTTTTTTCATAAAAACATCATTTTGAAATTTAAACACCATAAGCTAAAAATGTATGTGTGTATGTGTGTGTGTGTGTGTGTGTGTGTGTGTGTACAGGCACACCTCTGAGATATTGTTGGTTTTGGTTTCAGACTGCTGCAATAAAGCAAATATCACGATAAAGTGAGTCACACAAATTTTTTGGTTTTCCAATACATATAAAAGGTATGTTTATATTATACTATAGTAGGTATGCAATAGCATTATGTCTAAAAAAAGATGTATATACCTTAATTTAAAAATATTGTTAAGAAATGCTGACAAACATCTGAGCCCTCAGGGAGTTGTAATTTTTTTTTAGGGAGGGTCTCACCTCAACATTGGACCTAAAATATTTAGTAAACCATGCTGTAAACAGATGTGCAGTTATTCAGGCTTTGTTGTTCTGTTTATACAGCACAGGCAGAGCAGATTTAGCATAATTCTTATTTTTTTATTTTTTTGAGACAGAGTCTTGCTCTGTGGCCCAGGCTGGAGTGCAGTGGTGCAATCTCAGCTCACTGCAACCTCTGCCTCCTGGGTTCAAGTGATTCTCCTAGCCTCAGCCTCCAGAGCAGCTGGGACTACAGGTGCATACCACCACACCCAGCTAATTTTTGTATTTTTAGTAGAGACGGGTTTTCACCATGTTGGCCAGGATGATCTCGATCTCTTGACCTTGTGATCCACCCGCCTCAGCCTCCCAAAGTGCTGGGATTATAGGTGTGCACTACCGCACCCCACCTAGATTTAGCATAATCCTTAAAGCCCTAGGATTTTCAGAATGGTGGAGGAGCATTGGCTTCAGCTTAAAGTCACAGCTATATTAGCCCATGAAAAGAAGTCAACCTGTCCTTTGAAGCTTAGAAGCTAGACACTGACTTCTCTTTATCTATAAAAGTCCAAGATGGTGTCTTCTACTAGAAGGCTGCTTTGTCTACAGTGAAAATCTGTTGTTTAGTGTAACCATCTTCATCAATGATCTTAGATAGATTTTTCTGGATAACTTGCTGCAGCTTCTACATTAGCACCTATTGCTTTACCTTACACTTTTATATTATGGAGATGGCTTCTTTCCTTAAACCTTGTGAACCAACTTCTGCTAGCTTCAGACTTTTCTTCTGCATCTTCTTTACCTCTCTTGACCTTCATAGGATTTACAAGAGTTAGGAACTTGCTCTGGATTAGGCTTTGGCTTACAGAAAGCTTGTCCAACCCTGGCCCATGGGCCACATGCTGCCCAGGATGCCTTTAAATGCTGCACAACACAAATTCATAAATTTCTTAAAACCTTATGAGATGTTTTTGAGATTTTTTTTGTCTCACCAGCTATTGTTAGTGTTAGTGTATTTTATGTGTTGCCCAAGACTATTTTTCCAGTATGGCCCAGGAAAGTCAAAAGATCGGGTATCCCTGGCTTAGAGGAAGTGGCAGCTGGTTTGACCTTCTGTCCAGACCACTAAAACTTTCTCCATAACAGCAATCAGGAGTTGCGTTTTGTCATTTGTGTATTCGCTGGAATAGTATTTTTAATTTCCTTTAATAGTGCAAGAAACCTATCTTAACATGCCTTCCTCACTAAGCTTAATCATTTCTAGCTTTCGATTTAAAATGAGAAACATGCAATTCTACCTTTTACTTGAACACTTAGGGGCCATTATAGGGTTATCAACTGGGCTAATTTCAATATCCTTGTGTCTCAGGAAATAGAGGCCAGGGGAGATGGGGAACGGCTGGTCAATGGGGCATTTGGAATATGCAGATTTATTGATGAAGTTCTCTGTCTTATGTGGTCATGGTTCATGGTGCCCTAAAACAATTATAATAGTAACATAAAGATCACTGATGACAGATCACCATAATAGATATAACAATAATGAAAAAGTTTGAAATATTACAAGAATTTCTAAAACATGACACAGAGACATGAAGTGAGCACACGCTGTTGGAAAATGGCACCAACAGACACAAGGTTATCACAAGCCTTTAATTTGTAAAAACAGTATCTGCAAAGTGCAATGAAATGCATAAAATGAGATATATGTCTGTATAATGGTTATAGCTATGTAAAAATTGCCTTTGAATGTGGGAGATAAAATGTAATAATAGATTGCTTTTAGAGAATTTGATTATGAGTTTATTTTAAAATGTTCTTAAAACAACAAAACAAATATATTAGTTTGGGTTTTACATCAATCAAGTAGCAATGTCTGAATTGTCATTTTAGGAAAGATAACCGTCTAAATGTTTGGCATACTTCAGGTAATTATATGATGAAGAACTCTACTTCATTTCAAGAAAATTACAGTTTTAGTCAATATTTTAAAATTGTTTATGATTTTTAAAAGTTAACTTTCCTTAGTGTGTATTTAACAACTTTGCCATAGGATTCAGGCATTACATTGTTATCAGTATTAGTCAAGTTAAATTGTTTTATTCATTTCAAATTGAACTTGGTGTTATAAGTTCTATTATAGCTATTACCTTCTTTTAGCTGTATAAGTTCTTCAGGACATTATATGAATTTTATCTGGCTTGTAAGGAAACACAAACCTCATAAAACACAAATTTTAAAAGATTTTTAAAAATTTGGCCATTTTCAATAAATTGAAAAAGTGGAAGTTATTGAAAATATTTTTAAAAAATACAGTCTATAAAATTTATTTTTAAATTGTGAAACACTTACCCATTAGTGCCACTTTAAAATTTCCTTTCTCCCAAACTTATACAATGTCCTGAATTATTCAGACAAGCAAAGATAAGTAAGGAGTCTAAAGAATGTGGTTTGTTTTTTACCTTTAAAAACTTGGACAGTGATTTGGAAGTGCAGGTTAGTACAACTCCTTTTCTAAGTAAAATTCTGCTCCATCTGCAACTCTGAACACATAAACTGAAGGAGTTTTTCCCTTGGCCGGTGCCTGACCTCTGTGCACACCTTGGTCTGGCATGACCTCACCCACACCGCACATTGCAGCCATATAAATCAGATTTTTGACATGTTATAAAATGCAAGTCACAGCTCCCATTATCTTCAGTATTCAAAAACTTTTGAAACACTGCGTGTCCAACAAAATTTATTTTTTGTGTGAATGTAAGTTTTATTGAGGGTAAGTCCTATTTGTTTGGAAAAAAGGAACAGTATGAGCCAGTGATTTTTAAAAATCAGATAGATTTAATGTTCTCCGTCCTGCCTGTTCTCGCTCATGTGTGCTCTCTCTTGATCACTTGCTCGCTCGCTCTCTGCCTCTCTGCTTGTCTAAGAGTGACTGGCTTTGAGAGAGACCTTGATATTACAACTGTGTTAGCAGATTGAGATTTCTGTTAGAGCCTTTCTGTTTAGGTCAGGAGTAAGTGTTCTTCATAGAAAAGAATTGAAAGCATATAATCATATTGTAAGTATAAATGCTTCACCTCTTCAAATACATGTTTTAATTCCTTTGTTTCTGTTATAACAGAAAACTTCATATATAATTATGTCTTATTAGCTACATTGCTTTGCCAGATGCCAGATATTTTGTGTGTGTGTTTGTGGTTAACATTTTCTTTTTTTTTTTTTTTAATTTATTTTAAGTTCTGGGATACATGTGCAGGACCTGCAGGTTTGTAATGTGGTAAATGCATACAATGGTGGTTTGCTGCCCCTATCAGCCCTGGACTTTTTTTAAAAGAAAGGTTTGCACAGATTGGTAAACGTGATGAGCAATCTATGGTAAACTTTAAAGTGGTTTTGTAAAAGTTTTAAAGGTTCTATAGAAGTGCAAAAACTTGAAATGCAATTAAATATTTTTCTATAGTACATTATGGCCATATTCAATTGAAAAAGTGGAAGTTACTGATTCTACTTGAGTCAGATTGTAAATAAGCTTTGTGAAAAAGCAAAAAAGGCAATTCAGTTCATTCAGTTTTATTTACTGTCTCATATCTTTCATGTAAAATTTCATAAAGTACTATGTTAATAATGTTTACTAAAAATAAACCTTATTAGACTCTTCTGCAGAGAGATATTTAAGATTAAATTATATTATTTAGGCAATGGTTTATATTAAGTACACATATTATTTACTATAGATCTTTTAGTTTTACTTGTTTATACTTTTTGATATGTGATAGATATCTAAAAATGCTGTAACTAAAATTTGTCCCTACTATATAAATGTCTTTATTATTTTCAACATTTAAAAATGTTGCTATTAGAATATTTGACATTTTATAATGCCCTTAAAAGAAGACAATTTTCCCTAAATTTTTTAGGTGCTGTTTTTTAACCCTAATCTCTTGACCAAGAATGAAACCATTTAAAACTTAAGATGCCAACAGGTAATTTCTTATACATTTATATGTTTTTTTCAATATGTGTCAACAGCAATAGAACAACAACCAAAAATGTGTATTAACACAAGGCTGTATTATTCTCTTCCAACATCATTGGAAGAGATGTGAATATGAAATATTTGGTTTTTAGAGACCTTCCTTTATGACATAAAACTATTTTATTTAAATTTATATATTTTATTGGTTTTACAACCTGATAAGTTCCAGCTTATTCTATATCTGAAATCAACTCAAATAATAAGGAAATAGAAGTCAGAATAAAAGTAGATTCAGAAACAGTGATTCAGGTTAGTTTTCTTTGCTGATAAAATAAACACCAGGTGTTGAGATATGTCTGATTATAATCTGATTAAAACAAGGACATTAATTTTAGCTGTGATAAAGTTACATTCCACCCTCAGTGGAAAACCACATATGATGACTCCAATGATGCTGATGTAATCTAATGTAATGTAATGTAAATATTACTTTTTAGCCAAATTATTCTGGAAAATTTGTATAACCTTGTTGAAAGTTGTTTCATTAGAAAGAAGCATGGCATTGTGTAAAAAAGAAAAAAATCTAAAAATTCATTTTGGTTGATTTTACTTTCTTTTTTACCAGTTCTCTATAATTCTGATTTCCTCTTTACATTTTTATACTCTTACAGTTATAATGTGATGCTGAAACAGGATTTTCTCACTTCTAAAGTAGAACAAAAGTTTTAAAATTTGAAATTCTGATTGTGGAGATTTTCTGACTCATAGCAATTATATCTTAGCAAGTATTGATATTTTAGTGGCACATAAATGCTAGATGATTATTTAAATTAATATACTAATTTTAATGCCAAATTGGAGTCCCAATGGGATTAATGTCATTTTCTTCTTCCCGTTAGATGGTTCTGGGTCATTTCCTAGACAGAAACAATCAGGAACTAACAATGTACAATTGTAAAGCAATGTAATTTCCCCTTTAAAGCTGAAATATAAAATATTCAGCAATTTTCTCTTTTAGTAATAAATTACTAGGATAATGACTCAATGAATCCTTCTGTCTAATTATTCTGTCTAATTTTTTCTATACAATGTAGCCAGGGATTTTTAATAAAAGGTCTTAGGGGTATGAGGCTGCAAGGAAGGAGAAGTACCAAGGGAGAAAGAGAAGGCAGAGAGAAAAAGATAAACGAAGGGTCAAAGATTAAGAAGTTGGGGCTGAAGAAAGAGGAAGGAGAGAAAATAAGCAAGAGAGAAGTAGAGGTTTATTTTCTTAATATTCTGAAAGATTTGGCTGTATATCAAGGTATGACTTAGGTTTTTAGTTTTTCTTTGTAACTTTAGATATGTCTTTATATTTAGTAGCTATTACCTAAAATCTCATAAGATTATTTTTGGTTTCTGACATTTAGATTGTCATATAGGAACATTTAAAGTTAATTTTGGAAATAAAAAGTTAATTATCTAAATTCTTTACCAGCCACAGTTTCAGATATTAATGTATTTGAGACCTAATAGGAAAAACAAGAATCTAAATTCTTGACAGGGGAACTCTAGGTAATACTGCCATATCTCTGTAGTAAGTGAGAAAGGCCCTGTTTGTTCTAAGATCCTAATCACTTCCCCTCAGTCTAACTAATAAAGATATTCCTTATTTCTGTTATATAGTGTCTAAACCCATTATAATTAATGGCCATATTTTTAGGACATAATTTTTTTCTCAAAGACTTAGAAGTCCCAGAAGTCTGTCAAATAAGGAATAAGATTAAGTCTTTAATTATGAGAAAAAAATTCTTCATTCTGATTTTCAGAATTGCTACTTCAGTTTAAGATAGTTATTTCTGTTCCTGGTTGCATTAGGAAAACTTTAATTTGCTTTTCTCCGTTTTATATATATATGTGTGTGCTTTAGATCACGAAGAACCCTGTGGTCCCAGTCACAAGTCATTTTGCCTGAATGGGGGGATTTGTTATGTGATACCTACTATTCCCAGCCCATTTTGTAGGTGAGTGAAATGGACGTGGGGGAGATATTAACTTTATTTTTTATTATCTACTAACATCTTTGAGAAGTGGTAAAGAGTAAATAGAAAATGTAAGATGAAAAGGTGTGAGACATATTCTTCATTTTATGTAGGGTAAAATTATCCTTTTAAAACAAAACAAAATAGCACATAAAAATCTCAGTAGTCAAGGTGTTTGTTTTGAAAATTGGTAATGGTAGTTTCTGGCCTAGATATATTTTTTAAAAAATAATTTCTTTTACTGAACTCTCTGATTTTAGCAATTTAAGGAAGGCAGTCTATGGCTTAATAATGGCAAAATGGCTAGGGAATTCACTAATCCAAAAAACCCAATATGAGATACTTTATTTTGAGTTTATAAAACACATGATAACTGAGTTGGTACCAAAACTTACACTTTATATATTAAAAGCAAAAAGGAGTTAAGTTTTTCTAATGGTGCTAGCAAATAAAAACGAAGGGTGTCTTAGCCACTATTGTTTTAAAATAATACAACTCACTGTGGGTGTATAATGACCAACAAAAAACTTCAAAATAGTGCTTCTGTAGCCAGCTTCCTATGAGTTTGGTTGAACAGGATTTAAGTGTATATAATGAACCTCTTTGACTACATGAGTTAACATCTTAGTACTGCCGTATACTGTGACACTAACACCTGAAGATCTCAAGGTATTTTGTAATGCGTGTGAATTACTCTTCTTCATTCTTTAACTGAAATGAGAAGTATAGAATCTAGATCTATAGTATAGTATAGAATCTAGAATCAAGATCTGGCTACATAAAAAGGATAAAGGAAAATTCACAGGAAAAGTTAAAGTTATTGGTTGTAGTATGGAGGAGAGGAGGCAGAGAGAAATAACCTCATAATTATCTCAGGAACTTTTTAGGGCTTTTCATATGGGGAATAGTGCCCCCAGGTATTTTTTTTCTCTAGTGAATATGAAAAGGGAAGGGGATGGAGGAACAAATTAACACTTACTTAACACTCATGATGTGCCTCAATAGTATCCTTTTTTGGTTTTCTGATCTATTTACTGGGATATAATTTATGTATAATAAACTGCATTCATTTAAAGTACACATGGATTAATTTTGACAAATGTTTGTAGCTGTGAAGTCACCACCACCATCACATCTAGATATAGAACATTTCCATAGATAGTCCCCTCAAATTTTGTTGCTGACTCCGCTCAACACTTCATTCTCACAAACACCTTAGAGAAAGGAGGCAGGGAAGACCTTAGAAAATAGTTAAAAAAAAAAGAAAGAAAGAAAAGAAAAAAGGATATAATGCGAAATTAGGTGACATGCCAAAAGTCATATTGCTGGGAAAAAGAAAGAAATGGCCTCTGAATAAAACTCCCAAGTTTCACTTAACTTTATAACATATTCATTCTGAATTCTTTCTAAGATGGCATATATGATATGGCATATAACATGTATAAAACAAAACAAAAATGCTTATCAGAAGAAGTACATTTAATAATTAAAAAATACTAAAAATTTGTGTCCTGATCTTGATGATGGCTACCTGGGTATAAAGACTATCCTTTCTCCACTGAATTGCCTTTGCTGCTTTGTCAGAAATCAGTTGATCGTATGTGTACAGGTCTATTTCTGGACTATTCTTCTCCATTGATATATGTTTCCTGTCTTTTAACCAATACCAGTCTTGAAAAACATAGCTTTATAAGGAGCAATATCAGGCAGTACGATTCATTAACGTTGTTCTTCAGCTCAATGATCTTTAGCCTTATTTTCTAATAGGCAGTATTTAATGTTAAAAATTTTCAAGTACATTTCTGTTTTGTCCTGAATTGTATAGTTTGTTGTTCAGTTTTTGGTTTAAACATTTTTTCATTATGATTTCTTCTATAATCTATAGGGTGTTTTCCCAACCTTTTGTATTTATATCTGATTTAATGGCATTGTGAGCAGAGTACTTGGTCCATCAAGCTGTGCACTTAATATCTATCTGTATACTAAGTATCTCTTAAATCTCATTGAATAAGTTGAAAGAAAGAACTAAGAATGCTGGAATTTGGAGATTCATTAAAATGGAAAGAAACCTAGGTTGTCATCCTGCCTTTGTACCTTGGATAGATGTGTTTTTAGTGTATTTTCAAAAGTTACCAATGATGGAGAATGCCCACACCTGGTGTAAAAATGTATATAGTTTCTTCCTAATTTCAGAATATAAGAGTAGTAATCAGGGAGTAGTTGAAACCATGCCCTACGGGTTCATGATGGATAGAGAATGAAGCAAGGTCACCACATTGCACAACAGCAGGAGATTCTGTGACTTGGCACCCTCTTTGGAGTGTGAATGTTGTATTCTGGAGTTGCTAAACACCCTGGAAGGAAGTGAAGTAGGGGAGCAGGGTAGGGAACAAAAGGGCGACTGAGAAAAAAGGAAAAAAATATAGTGATTGAGGGTTCAGTGACATTGAGTGGCAGAAATATTTTAAATCGTATTTTATAAAAATAATTGCTTTCCAGCGGGGCATCTTGGCTCATGCCTGTAATCCCAACACTTTGGGAGGTTGAGGAGGGTGAATCACAAGGTCAAGAGATTGAGACCATCCTGGCCAACATGATAAAACCCTGTCTTGACTAAAAATACAAAAATTAGCAGGGCATGGTAGTGTGCACCTGTAGTCCCAGCTGCTTGGAAGGCTGAGACAGGAGAATGGCTTGAACCCAGGAGGCAGAAGTTGCAGTGAGCCCAGATTGTGCCACTGCACTCTAGCACTCTAGCCTGGCAATAGAGCAAGACTTCGTCTCCCAAACAAAACAAAACAAAAAATTGCTTTCCACTTATCTTAGGACCACATTTCTAAGGTAGTCGTATAGGCTATAATAGCAATAGCTAAGAGTGATAAACTCGTTTTCCAATCCACTTCATACTGTTTTCTGCATTTCCTGTTTCTATTACTGACATCACAACCGTCCTGTCACTGAGAAATCCCAGACTTATCTTTGACTCTGTCATTGCCCTCTTATCCAGTTGTCAAATCCTATTTCTATCTTTGCTGTATCTTTCATCACTCTAGTCCTTTCTGTTCCTACTATGACTATACTAGCTCAGAGTTTCTTAACTCCTTATTTGGTCTATAGAAATAGTCCCTCACCAATTTTCCTGGAGCCTAATTCTCATCATTTCAGCAGTTAAAACAAAACAAAAAAACCTTCAGTGGCAGCCCTCACACCTATCCATCTACCACTCATGAAATAATATCTCACTTTTTAACCTAGCTCTTTCAGCTTTCTACCATTTGACCCTCAAACTACCTTTGTGGCCTTTTCTTCCTTGGTCTATGTTCTAACTAGAACCATTCACTGTGTTAGATATACTTTGTGTTATGCTGCCTGCCAGCTCCTCCTCTTTCTCCTCCTTCTCGGTCTACATGAAAATAAAAATGACAAGGATGAAGACCTTCATGATTATCTACTTCCACTTAATAAATAGTAAGAGGTATACTTTCTCTTCCTTACAATTTCCTTTTCTCTTTCCTTTTTTGTTTTTTCCTTAAGACGAGGTCTCGCTGGCTGGAGTGCAGCAGTGCAATCTCGGCTCACTGCAAACTCCGCCTCCCAGGTTCAAGTGATTCTTCTGCCTCAGCCTTCTAACTAGCTGGGATTACAGGTGTGTGCCACCATGCCCATCTAAATTTTGTGTTTTTAGTAGAGGTGAGGTTTCACCATGTTGGCCAGGCTGGTCTTGAACTTTAGGTGATCTGCCCACCTCAGCCTCCCAAAGCACTGGGATTATAGGCGTGAGCCACTCTGCCCAGCAATGCCCCCCCTCTTTTTTTTTTTTTTTTTTTTAAGAGATAGGGTCTTGCTCTGTTGCCCAGGTCGGAGTGCAGTGGCTTGATCATAGTTCACTGCAACCTCAGACTCCTGGGCTCAAGTGATCCTCCTGCCTCCTCAGCCTCCCAAGAAGCTGGGACTACAGGCACACACCACTGCACTTGGCAATTTATTTTTTGTAGAGGATGGGGTTTTGCTATGTTGACTAGGTTGGTCTCAAACTGCTGGCCTTAAGTGATCCTCCCAACTCAGCTTCTCAAGGTGCTGGGATTACAGGCATGAGCCACTTTATCCAGCACCCTTATGAGTTTCTTAATAACATTATCTTTTCTCTAACTTATTTTATTATAAGAATACAGTATGTCATACATATAAAAAATATGTGTTAATCGACTGTTTGTTATTGCTAAGGCTTCCAGTCAACAGAAGGTTATTAGTAGTTACGTTTTGAGGGAGTCAAAAGTTATATGTGGATTTTTGACTACATGGAGGTTGGTGCCCCTAACCCCTGCGTTGTTCAGCGGTCAACTATATTTGTGCCTTTAGATCTAAAATGTCTCTAGTCAACATATAGTTGCATCACATGTTTTTTGTTCATTTTGCTAATCTCTGTCTTTTATTAGATAATTAAATCTATTTACATTTAAAGTAATTATTGATGAAAAGGACTTAAGTAATTTTGCTATTTATTTTCTACATGTCTTATCACTTTTTTGTTTCTCATTTTTTGTATCACTATGTTTTGTGTTTAATTGGTTTTTTGTAGTAAAATTTTTGTTTGTCTGTTTGTTTGTTTGAGATTGAGTTTCACTCTTATTCCCTAGGCTGGAATGCAATGGCTCGATCTTGGCTCACTGCAACCTCCACCTCCTGGGTTCAAGCAATTCTCCTTCCTCAGCCTCCCAAGCAGCTGGGATTACAGACAGGCATGCATCACCATGCCTGGCTACTTTCGTATTTTTAGTACAGTTGGGTTTTCTCCATGTTAGTCAGGCTGGTCTCAAACTCCCAACCCCAGGTGATTCACCTGCCTTGGCTTCCCAAAATTTGGGAATTACAGGCATGAGCCACCATGCCCAGCCTATAGCAAAGTGTTTAAATTATTTTCTCATTTCCTTTTGTGTATATTCTATAGCTATTTTATTTGTGTTTACCATGGGGATTACATT